TCTTCAAAGCCTTTCTCCTTTTAACCAACAAAACAATTGATTGATCACCTCACTTAGGCTAAGTCTACATTACAGGCTTCTTGCGCAAGAAGTCTTTTGCTCTAGAGTTTTTGTGCAAAAACTTCTTATGCAAGAGCACGTCCACACCTCAAAGTGCATCACAAAAGCAATGTGCTTTTGCACAAGAGAGCATCCACACTGCACGGATGTTCTTGCACAAGAAAGCTATGATTGCCATTCACATCAGAAAGCTATGATTGCCATCAGAGCACCTGTGATTTTTCTCTGGAGCATCCACACTTGCCTTCTTGCGCAATAGCTGTAGCTCTAATAGCAGTTATGCCTCAGAAAACGAGGTTTACCTACGGTGGAAAAAGCCCTCTGTTCTACCATTTAACAGCCCATTTAATTGTGCAAGAGCTCATTTGAGGTGTGGACGCTCCCCAGGTTTTTGCACAAAAACAGTTGTTTTTGCGCAAAAACGTTGTAGTGTAGACATAGCCCTAATTTATCCTTGCCTTAAACACAACAGCTGTTTTTAATTAAAAATGTAAATACCTAGTGCACAAAACATTTTGTAAAACACTGTAGCTCAAACACTCTAGCAGTTTTTATTAGTTGAAACACACTAGATTTAAAACTAAAAAGACAAAAATAAAAAAATATATAAAACCCTTTTTTTAAAAGACAATATTTCTAAAAGCGCATCAAAAGACTAAAAATAATAAAAAAAAGTGCACCAAAATATGTCAAAAATAAAGTTTTAAGCTAGCAAAATAGGAGAAAGAGTGCCTGGCTAGGTACGATTCAAGGTAGTTGCTAGCTGTTAGGCATCCACTCACTCTTTCTCCTACATTGCTAGCTTACAACTTTATTTTTGACATATTTTGGTGCACTTTTTAAATTAATTTTAGTCTTTTTTTGTGCACTTTTAGAAAGATTGTCTTTTTAAAAAGTTTTTTTATATTTTTTTATTTACTTTAAAATATTCTTAAATCTAGTGTGTTTCAACAAATAAAAACTCCAAGGTTCATTTTGATATGCTTATATATTTATATATATGCTTATATATTTTGAGCTAGACTGTTTTACAAAATTTTTTTTGCACTAGGTATTTAGGAAAAGGGCCAGTGTAGACAGCACAGTAGTCTTTTCTGCAAAAAAGCCCCAATCGCGAAAATGACGATTGGGCCTTTTTTGCGGAAAAGCGCATCTACGTTGGCCACGGACGCTTTTCTGGAATTATTATTTTACCTAGTTAACATGGAATGATGAAGAACGTCAGACAAGCTTGCTGTATTAGCGAACAGTCATTAAGTTAGAACTAAAATTACATTAGATAGATGAAAGATTATTTTACACAGCACATAGAAGGATATTGCTAAAGTCTTACAGATTCTACTTTTTCTTAATTGAAATCTGTTAATTTATTTTCCGGAAAAGCATCCTGCCAATGTAGACGTGCTTTTTCCGGAAATACTTATAACGGAAAACTGTTCCGTTTTAAGCATTTCCGGAAAAGTGTGCCAGTGTAGATGTAGCCTTTGAGAGTTACAGTTTAATCTTCTGAGATTACAGTGAATGTTAAAAGTGAGTAATTAAACATGTACCACTATAGGTATTATATTCCCAGGATAGATGACAGTAATGGTAAGATTATGGATTTAAGAGCACAGTTTAATATCTTTCATTTATTTATCTCTTTTCATTCTGAAGTATTCTCTAATGCTTTCCAAATTATATCTAATTATTGTACATGTTCTGGAGGCACTGATTTACACCTTCATAGTGAAGATGAGTTCTGTATTGCATTAAAGCAGGAATATAACTTCTTTTATATTAAAATACAGTATATATGTGTGTGTATTTTTCATAAATAAAAATACAGTGTATGTGTATATCTACTCACTGTATTTTTCATACATAAAGAAAACTTATTTCACATTGAAATAAAGTCTCCAAACATTCCACTTAGTTAAAATGAATTGAAATTCTGTGCATAGTCTACATTTGAAGAAACTTAGTTGTAATTAAGCCACGTTGTTGTTGATTTTTTTAATCTGAATGCTTTTAAGTAAGCTACAGAAAAGATAAGGTGAACAACTTTTAAGTAGCTTTTAAATGTGGTCTTTATGACATCAGTGGTAGATCACCCAACCACCATCCTTCTTCTTAGCTACTTTGCACACAGAATTTCTCTTGGTTGTACTCAGTAAGTGGTTTGAGGGCGACTGGACAGATGAGAAGAGCTCTTGCTTATAAACTACTTGTCCAACTGTCGTTGCTCTTTAAAAAATCCTTCGCCTCATAGTAACTTGGGTATCAGTGCTGAGAAGTTCCACGTGGCCCAAGTGGTCTGGCTCCACTGCCAGTGAGCCAGGTGGGCAGGAGACCTCTTAAAAACAGAGCCATTAGAGCCCTGGAATGAGACATCATGCAACCTTGCCTTCACATAGCATCAGTGTCTATAATATAGCACTCTCAGACGTTGTCAGTTTAGCTAATGAAGGGCTTGATTCACCAGTAGTTTTAGCAAATGAAGGGTCAGATTCACTGGTAGATTTCTGTAACTATGTGTCTCACTAGCAATGTGAAGCAGTTGTAAACCCAGTTTAATTATAATTTTGTTGGTTCGCAGTGCTTTGGTATATCAATGAATCTGAATTTTTTTTAATTATTCAGGGTTGATACTACATAACATCAAGCTATTAGAAGTATTGTATAGGAACACGTTCTCTGGATTTCTTCTTTAAAGTTCATCTATTAAACTTAATGCTTTTAAAAAAACAGAAAAGTTAGGCAAAATTGTGATGAAATGGTAACAAGCTTGAAAGTGAGTGCTAGAAACATACTGAGAAAAAAAAATTAGAGATCTTGCAATTATCTCAAAACCAGGTACTTCAAACCCTGAAACCTCAGAGCCAAGATTACACTTAAAAAAATGTAAACCTGTCAAGGTCCAGAAATGCAGAGTTAAGGCTTCCAAAGAACCTTAACTTTGACTTGTAAATACATCAGGAAGTTAAAAAAAAATTTGTGGGGAGGAGAGAATGCTCTTTAAAAACCTCTTTAATCTGGAACCAAGAACTAAAATGTTCATTGTGTGGCATCATTAGGGAGAGTAAGGATTGTTGGGCTACCACATTGATGTCTTTCTATATCTTTTCACGTGTTTGAATTTCTTGTAAATGCAGCTTTATCTCTGAACTTCCTGGAGTTCTAATGCTTTGTTTTGGTATAATGGCAGCAACTATATAATATATTTTACCCTTAAGTTACTATTCTATACCCTAACCCTTTCCTCCATTTTGCTACAGTTTTGTCTTAGAAATAAAAACACAAGATACATAATCACTTGAGCAGCTTTTGGTGTAGAATGCAATGAAAATTTAATAGGGCACATCATCAGTACAGAACTGTACAGGACAGGAAGTGAAGACAAATACCATATTCAGCTGAAACTATTGGGAGAATTTAAGGAGCTGAAATTTAATTGCCTGTGTTGGAATTTGATCATGATGCACAAGTTAACACCCAGGCTCTTGGAATACAGCAAACCCTCACTATTCGTGGTGGATGGGAACTCATCGCAGCTGCTGGGAGCCACAGTGAGTTCTCCCAGCCTCCGCTGCGCCCTCTCCCCACCTGCCCCCACTCTGGCAGTCTTAAAGATTCTACTTTTTCTTAATTGAAATCTGTTAATTTAATATACGTCTTCTTAATGTGGATAATTCATAATTGCAGAAATGCTATCATCTATTCAACTCATTTTCATAGTTGTTTTTTTAAATTCACCAGGACAGCATATATTATCCCATTTGGGATTTTCCAGAACTCATAATAGTGACTTCAGCTGTTCATTAACCTCTGAACTGTGAGATCCCTTTGGAAAATGAGGGGAGTAGATTGATTCAAGGTTAATACTTGTTTGTAGAAGGTGAAGTCTCAAAGGGAATGCAAAGGGTGAAGAGGCCACTTTGTTCAAGAGCTGTTCCATGTGACTTTGCATTAGCGTTCAAAAGTGCAAGCTATACAGCCAAGAGTGAAACCCAGAGGTAGCTTTGTCTAACAAAGCCTGACTATTCAAATAATTTTCTGTAATTAATAAAATGTATATCCACAAAGAAGTTGGTGTCCCATGTGTCAAGAGTTAGCAATATGGAATTAGAAGCAGCATTATAATAAAAAAAAGAACTTATGGCTTCTGTAGTGAAGTGACGTTTCTATATTGAATTTTGGTGGAAAATTATGGTAGTGTTCCACCGCTTTCATTGTGGTGGAAAATTGTTGGTAGTTATATTTTTATATATATACTTGCCAGCTGTCTACACTGGCTGCTTGAATTTCCGCAAAAGTACTGACTTCCTACTGTAGGAAATCAGTGCTTTTTGCGGAAATATTATGCTGCTCCCATTCAGGCAAAGCTTTTGCGCAAAAGGGCCACTATAGACAGCTGAGATTTGTTTTGCGCAAAAAAGCCCCGATCTCGAAAATGGCGATTGGGGCTTTTTTGCGCAAAAGCGTGTCTAGATTGGCCATGGCTGCTTTTCTGCAAAAAGTGCTTTTGCGGAAAAGCGTCCATGCCAATCTAGATGCTCTTTTCCGAAAATGCTTTTAACGGAAAATTTCCGGAAAATCATGCCAGTCTAGATGTAGCCACTAAGTCTCCAGAGCCATTGTTAGAATGCTTTTGCTAAATGATTTCTCATTTTGATTTTCTTGATAAATCTAATCCAAAACCTGTAAAATTCTGGTACATTTTACAACTCTTAAATGTGCTACTATTCTCCTAAGCTTTGCTGGTGTCAGCACTTGTGAGTGCTGCTATATCTGTAGTCAAATCCATAATCCATACAGTTCTTCAGTTCTTGTGATTGTGTTAAGTACTTAACTAGGTCAAGATCCCTGGCAGCATCCTGATGAATCATTAGTTACTTGGGAAGGAGGAGTGGGGCTGGTCTTCATTGTCTTTAAGTTGTTTTTCCTCTCTTTTCTCTCAGGTACATCCGAATAGTTGGTACCCACAACACAGTGAACAAAGTTTTCCATATTGTGGCATTTGAATGCATGTTTACCAACAAAACCTTCACTCTTGAGAGAGGTCTTATAGGTAAGAAATACAATTGTTTTCTAATTCTATGGCTATCTCTATTGTATGTAAATTACTAATGACACTTTTATTCTTAGTCATTTCAGGTTTATTGCGTGAACTCATTATGTCCTTGTGAGCCTAGAGTCCCATTTATACCACTAGCCCATGTGTTTGTAAGAATGTTTTTGTGCTGCTTTCCATTGTAGGTTGGCTAAATGACTTTAAGGAAGTTTCTAACCTACAGAATCTATGGTGGCATAGTAGTGTCTTCATAGCCACCTAGTGTGGACACAGCATATGTTGACAGAATTGTTCTGCTAATATAGGAATAAGACCTCCTCATAGAACTTTTCTGATTGTGTCTACATAGTGGGTTTTATCATCATAATTGTGTTATTCAGGGATGTGTTTTTTTTCATACCTCTGCCTGTTGTAACTATGCTCCCTTAAGTTTTTAGTATAGGCCAAACCTAAAAAACTTAGTGTGACTGTGTTCTGGGATTTTCAGCACTGTGAGTTACTATGCTATCCCTCTCAAGTCTCAAAAAGTGAGAATTGTTCTACAGGTAAACTGTGTGACAACTCCCTGACACAATTGCTTGCCTGCCTTGCCAGCAAATTCTTAAGGACTCTGTTCAGTCCAAATGTTGTCCTGCAGTTAAAGACAGTGAGCCCCAACTCCTGAGTTCTTCAGAGGTGTCTTCCTATAGTGTCCAGCCCCCTCACAGAACACTCACTTTAAGTTAATTTTGTTTCTCCTTTAAAGAGGTAATATACTGTTGCTCATTAATTTAACTGGGGTTTCACATATGCTCTTATTTCAATCACAACAGTCAGTTGGTTTATAGTAAAATAAAGTTTAACAAACAGACATAGGATTAAGTCATACCTTTGTAAGGAATAAAGATAGAAAGAGTTACAAGCAAACAAAAGTAAAAATATTCTTCTACTATTAAAGTCAATTTTGGCAAGTTACAGTCTTTTCCTAAGCACGGTAATCACCTAAACTAAGTTCCCAGAGACTTCAACTCCCTTGGATGAAGTATTCAGTATTATGTGATGTCAAGAACCGTGGCCCTTTAATCCCACCAGTGATGGACACTACACTGCCGCTCTCTTTTTGTCTAAACCTTCCAAAATTCATCAATCTTGTAACAAGAGCTACTTTTTGTTGTTCTTCCCTTCTTGTTGACTTCACATCTCCCTGCTGATTCATATGTAAAAAGGAGTTTCATTGTTTTGATTCCATAATGCTTAATTTACACTGGAGACAGGTATATATCTACCTTCCCGCCTGTCAGGGAGAAATCTTGTTTCTCTCTTTGGCTACGTCTATACTGCAGCCTTCTTTCACAAAAGCTTATGCAAACGAAGTGCGGAGTAGAATATCACTGTGCTTAATTTGCATAATTAATTAGCAGCTGTTTTTGCACAAGAGGCTTTTGCGCAAAAAGGAGCTGTGTTTTTGCGCAAAACCCCCTCTTGTGCAAGAGTCGTTCATCCTCCTAAGTTTCTTTTGCGAAACACCAAGATTTGACTGTTCAGAGTTAGTTTCCCAGTCATCTATTTAACCATGTACTGTGGAGAAACAAGGAAATTTCACAATCACTCTTCAGTGTCCCATGAGTTTTGCCACAAAATCTCTTTACAATCTCCTTTTAGGCTTGTACACATGGAAGATGAATATTGCCATGCCTCATTTTCATACTTAATGAGCTGCCATTTTGTGCAAGGGGCTTTTGTGCAAGAAGGCACAGTCTGCACTGCTTGCACAAAAATGGCCCTTTTGCCCCTTGAGCAAAAATGGTGGCTCATTAAGTATGCAAACGAGGCATGGCAATATTCCTCACCACGCCTCATTTGCATATGTTCTTGCGCAAGTCTGCGCAATGTAGATGTAGCCAAAAGGTATAGCAATAGTCCATTCCCCTTTCCAGGGAGATTTCTTCTAGGTCATCCACTGCTGAGTCCACCAGCACTCAGTTCTCAGTTCCTTTCTGCCCTTATTCCAGAGCCCCTAGTCTATTGACCATCCACCGGAGTGTGACCAGTTTCATGATTCTTCTGCCCAAACACAGTCCAATTACGCAACCTTTTTTAGCCCTCACTGGCTCTCCAGCTCAGGAGGGTCAACAGGATAGCCTGGTGACTTATCTCCTACACAATTCCTCTCTATTTCCAGGTAATGGCTTGCAGAAATGTCCTGTGTCTCCCAGGCAGCTACCCTCTGCCTCTTCCCTTGCTCCTCCCAAGCAGTCTCAGCTGTTATTCTCTGTGTTTCTCTGACAGCTTTCTTTGGTAACTTTCTGACCCCTTTCCTTGCTTCTTCCCGGCAGCTCTCTCTTTCCTCTTCCTGACTTCTCTCTCCTCACAGAGAGGAGACCTGACTTAATTAAACTCAATTTGGTAGCAGGTAATCAGTCACAGGTGCACTGGACACTCACTCTTTCTTAAAGGGGCCATTCACACTGTAACAGATACATGAAAGATCAGGTTAAGACCGGAGTGTGACCAGTTTCATGATTCTTCTGCCCAAACACAGTCCAATTACGCAACCTTTTTTAGCCCTCACTGGCTCTCCAGCTCAGGAGGGTCAACAGGATAGCCTGGTGACTTATCTCCTACACAATTCCTCTCTATTTCCAGGTAATGGCTTGCAGAAATGTCCTGTGTCTCCCAGGCAGCTACCCTCTGCCTCTTCCCTTGCTCCTCCCAAGCAGTCTCAGCTGTTATTCTCTGTGTTTCTCTGACAGCTTTCTTTGGTAACTTTCTGACCCCTTTCCTTGCTTCTTCCCGGCAGCTCTCTCTTTCCTCTTCCTGACTTCTCTCTCCTCACAGAGAGGAGACCTGACTTAATTAAACTCAATTTGGTAGCAGGTAATCAGTCACAGGTGCACTGGACACTCACTCTTTCTTAAAGGGGCCATTCACACTGTAACAGATACATGAAAGATCAGGTTAAGTCAGTGATGGGCAACCAAGAACAGTGAGTAGGCTGCATGAGTGGCCCTCTCAGTCGGCCGTAGCAGCTCACACCTCATGGGGTTCCACCTGCAGCCCACGGATCCCTTGTCTGCTCTTTTTCCTCTCATGCACTGGGGCACAGGAGTCTCACACTTCCTACTCCTCTGCCTCTCTCCAGGCAGCTACCCTCTGCCTCTTCCCTTGCTCCTCCCAAGCAGTCTCAGCTGTTATTCTCTGTGTTTCTCTGACAGCTTTCTTTGGTAACTTTCTGACCCCTTTCCTTGCTTCTTCCCGGCAGCTCTCTCTTTCCTCTTCCTGACTTCTCTCTCCTCACAGAGAGGAGACCTGACTTAATTAAACTCAATTTGGTAGCAGGTAATCAGTCACAGGTGCACTGGACACTCACTCTTTCTTAAAGGGGCCATTCACACTGTAACAGATACATGAAAGATCAGGTTAAGTCAGTGATGGGCAACCAAGAACAGTGAGTAGGCTGCATGAGTGGCCCTCTCAGTCGGCCGTAGCAGCTCACACCTCATGGGGTTCCACCTGCAGCCCACGGATCCCTTGTCTGCTCTTTTTCCTCTCATGCACTGGGGCACAGGAGTCTCACACTTCCTACTCCTCTGCCTCTCTCCAGCACTTTTGGAGCACCATGAATCACCTGATTTGCTCTCCATCCCAACTCCTATCTCTCCCTCCCACAGTTTGAACAGCCATAAACAGCTGAGTCACAGCATTCCAGCTCTGAGAGGGACATGGGGGAGCGGGTACAGAGCACAAATCAGGCAATTCAAGGTGCTCCAAAAGTGTTGTCGGGGGGGGAGGAGTAGGAAATGTGGGGTCCTGTGTCCCAATGCACAAGAGGCGCAAGGGGGAGCGGGCAGATAGGGGGCCTGCAGGCTGCAGATGGAGCCCCAACCCACAGGTTACCCACCATGTTTCACATGGTCCAAGAATATGCAAGACACCTCATAATACAGATTAAAAGACTTTATCTGTGCCCTGAGGAGTTCACAAAATATATCTGATGTCAGCAATGTTGGGTAACTAGACAGTGAAGGGATGAATTGCATTTAAAAAGAAAATGCTACATTAATAAAAGTATGCAGTTTCTCAAAAAGAGCATGATGAGTAAACCAACATGATGAAGTAAATACTTTTACATTGCAAAAGGACTGGAAACGCAAAAGTCCTTTGCTATGTCTTACCTAATTTAAGGTGAAGAAATCTTGTGCTAAATCATGTAAAGCCATGTTCTTCTTCGAGTGATGTTTCTGTGTTGGTGTCAGGCTCATCACTGTGCCACAGATTGGAGACTTTCAGAGCAATGTTCAGTCGGGCTGCACATGCGCGAGTGGTGAGCAGCGTTCCCGCCTTTGGAGTTAGCGCGCGCACAGCCCGATTCCCCTCGGTTACTTCTTCGCTGCCCTCAGCTATGGACGGAGTTCCAACTCTCTCCTCCTCAGCGCACTTCTGAAAAATATAGTAGTAGCTAGTTAGTGTTGAATTACCCCGTACTTCTTTCCCTGTTAATACAGTTTAAACTTTTAAAAAACCCGTATTTTTTCCTTCAGCTTGTTCATAGTTTAGTTAGACTATCTGTTTACTGCCGTGCTGCGGCAAACTACAAAAAAAAAAGAAAAAGAAACCAAATACAGACAGTTCTACTCATACAATTACAAACAGCATAATTCACCACTGGGAGACATCTAAAGTCCAAAGATGCGACAAATGCAGAGACTCTGTGCCAGCCTCAGGTAGTCACAGCAAATACATACGCTGTTAGGGGTACACATATGTTTCACAAAAATGTGTCCATTGTTGCAGTCTGACAGTGAGAGCTCGCAAGGAAAGAGAGCTCAGAATACGCACACTATCCATTGAAAAAAACCTAGAACACCATAGGTATAAAGGGGGCAATAAGGGCTCAGGTGCAAAGTCCCCTCGGAGGAATCTCTCAAGCCCATCACCTCAGAAAGCGCGCTCAAAAACCAAACCCTCATCAGCCTGCTCCCTCCCATCACGAATGAGTAAGGGAGATGAATCTGGCA